GAGTTGCCTGTATTAGAGGTTGAGTTTAACAGGGGACAAGTGGGAAAAGCACCCCATTGTGACTGGCCCAGAGGCCCCTTGTATCCTTGGCATTGACTGCCTCAGGAGGGGGTAATTCAAGGATCCAACTGGGTACTGATAGGTTTTTGGTGTAGCCACTGTGAATAAAGAAGATAAAAAAATTATCTACCCTGCCTGGCCTCTCCCTTCATCGTGGGATTGCTGCAAGTTGCAGAATAGCAGGTGCCAATTGCTACCAGGTCAGTGCACCAGTGGCAATATTGCACAAACTGATGGCTGCCATCCATGAGCTGATTCATCAACTGCAGAGCCAAGGAGTGATCAGCAAGACTCACTTGCCTTTTAATAGTCCTGTATTGCCAGTGCAAAAGGGTGATGGAGGGTGGAGGTTAACAGTAGACTATCGTGGCATGAACCAAGTGACACCACCGCTAAATGCTGCTGTACCGGAAATGCTGGAACTGCAATATGAACTGGAGTTGAAGGCAGCCAGGTGGTATGCTGCAACTGACATTGCCAATGCATTTTTCTCAATTACTTTGGCAGCAGAGTGCAGACCACAGTTTGCTTTCACGTGGAGGGATGTCCAATACACCTGGAATTGATTGCCCCAGGGGTGAAAACACAAACCTACCATCTGTCATGGACTAATCAAAACTGTATTGGAACAGGGTGATGCCCCTGAACATCTACAATACATCGACAACATCATTGTTAGGGGCAACAAGGCAGAAGAAGTGTTTGAGAAGGGAAAAAGAATAATTCAGATTCTTCTGAAAACTGGTTTTGCCATAAGCAAGGTCAATGGATCTGCACAGGAGATTCAGGGGATTGAAAAGAGGCAGGAAACTCTCAGCCTCTGGCAGTAACTGTTGTCAAGTGTGAGGAAGAGAGATCTTTGTAAGGATCCATGTACAGCAAGGACAGTGGAACACGATGGAACAAGGTGTCAAATGCTTCAGAGAATTAGCTGTACTGGAGAATATCTTTTCAGAAGATGAAAGATACCCTAAAAGTCCAGACGGTGTACAGTGCAAATACCAGATGTGGTTAAAATTTGCACAGCTTGTGCCAGAAATGCATTCCTGCTACTTAGCAATGTTGCAATGGAGAGAGGGAGAGGACAAGGTGGGTGCATTGGTTAGTAAACTCAGGATTTATGAGGATACTGTCACTGCCCCATTATGAGCCCATGTCTCATCTGTGGAAACAAAGGTGGCCAAAAATATCCAAAGCCTGGAAGAGAAAATTGAAGAGGGCCACCAGAAGCAAAGAGAGGAATTTAAGGAAGGAATCTTCCATATCTTGCCAGGACAAACAAGAATCTCTGCTATCAGGAACAGGCATCCCCCCTACTAAGGAGAGAGGGTACACCATCTATGGTTTTACCTCCATGAGCATGGAGAAGATATGAGAAGGTAGGATGGAAACCCCATCTCTTCCTTAGCAGCCCGGATACGTGAATTGAGAAGAGGAACAAGTACCACAATAAACTCTTCAAGGATAAATGCTGCTGCGGTCTCTCATGGGCAAGACTCCAGACGGTATAGGAGTTATGATCCTTTTGAAGGGACCACCAGGGTATATTTACAGGAAGAGAGCAATGAGTACCATGACCAGAACTAAGGGGGCCCTGCCTCTAGCCAGGTAGAGGAGAGGGACAATCGGGTCTACTGGACTGTGTGGATCTGATGGCCTGGCAAATCAGACCCACAAAGATATGAGGCTTTAGTTGACACTGGCGCACAGTATACCTTGATGCCATCGAGATATGTAGGGGCAGAATCCATCTCTATTTCTGGGGTGACAGGGGGCTCCCAACAGCTGACTGTACTGGAAGCTGAAGTAAGCTTAACCGGGAAGAAATGGCATAGACACCACATCGTGACTGAACCAGAGGCCCCATGTATCCTTGGCACAGACTACCTCAGGAGTAGGTATTTCAAAGACCGAAAAGGACATAGATGGGTTTTCGGGATTGCTACTGTGGAGACAGAAGAGATTAAACAGTTGAATTAATTGCTTGGCCTCTTGGAGAATCCTCCTTCTGTGGGACAGTTGAAGGTTGAGAACAGTAGGTGCCAATTGCCACCACAACAGTGCATCGTCGGCAATATTGAATGAACTGAGACTCTGTGATCCCCATCCATAAGATGATCTGTGAGCTGGAGACCCAAGGGGTGGTCAGCAAGATCCACTCACACTTCAACAGCCCCATTTGGCCTGTGTGTAAGTCTGATGGAGAATGGAGATTGACTGTGGACTACTGTGGCTTGAATGAAGTTACCCCACCGCTGAGTGCCGCTGTGCCAGACATGTTGGAGCTCCAGTATGAACTGGAGTCCAAGGCAGCAAAGTGGTGCCACTATTGACAGCTTGCTTTCACCTGGAGGGGTGTGCAGTACACCTTGAACCAAATGTCCCAGGAGTGGGAGCACAGTCCCACAATATGCCATGGATTGATCCAGGCTGCACTAAAGAAGGGTGAGGCTCCAGAACATCTACAGTACATTGACAACATCATCGTATGGAGGGACAAAGCAGAGGAGGTTTCTGAGAAAGGAAAGAAAATCATCCAGAGTCTCCTGAGAGCTGGTTTCACCATCAAAAAGGGTAAGGTCAAGGGATCTGCCCAAAGGATCCAGTTCCTGGGAGTGAAGTGGCAAGACAGACATCATCAGATCCCGAGAGAAGTCATTGAAGAGATCAGAGTGTCCCCACCAACCAGCAAGAAGGAAACACAGGCTTTCTCGGCGCAGTAGGCTTTTGGAGAATGTATATCCCTGAGTACAGTCAGATTGTAAGTCCTCTCTACCTTGTGACATGGAATAAAAATTATTTCCATTAGGGCCCTGAACAACAGCAAGCCTTTGAACAGATTTAACAGAAGATTACCCATGCAGTAGCCCTTTGACCAGTCAGATCCGGACAGGATGTAAAGAACGTGCTCTACACTGCAGCTGGGGAGAATGGCCCTTTCTGGAGCCTCTGGCAGAAAGTGCCTGGGGAGACACATGGACAACCGCTGGGATTTTGGAGTTGGGGATACATACAAAGGATATGAGGCCAGCTATATCCCAACTGAGAAAGAGATCATCACAAACTGCCCTGAAGGATAGAGTTTTGGACTATCCTTTAAAGAGGAAGAGGAGCAGGTGACACATGCTGAGGAGTCCCCACCATATAACCAGCTACCAGAAGATGAAAAGTGATATGCTCTCTTCACTGATGGTTCCTGTCGCATTGTAGGGACAAACCGGAAATGAAAAGCAGCCGTATGGAGTCCCACATAGAGAGTTGCAAAAGCAACCAAAGGACAAGGTGGGTCAAGTCAGGTTGCAGAGCTTAAAGGACTTCAGCTGGCTTTGAATATGGTTGAATGAGAGAAGTGGCCAAGACTCTATCTCTACACTGACTCATGGATGGTGGCCAGTGCTCTGTGGGGATGGTTAGAGTGATGGAGAAAGGCCAACTGGCAGCGCAAAGGGAAACTCATCTGGGCGGCTGAGATGTGGTGAGACATCGCTGCCAGGATAGAGAAGATGAGTGTGAAGGTCCGCCACATTGATGCTCATATACCCAGGAGTCAGGCTAATGAAGAGCATCATAACAATGAGCAGGTGGACCAAGCTGCCAGGATTAAGGCATCTCAGATAGATCATGCCCAACCAGTTACTCCAACAATATTGTCACTTAATTTGTCAGCATATAATTAAGAATTCAGAAGGTTAAAATTTTCCTGAACAGATGTCTCCAGAAATATTCACAGCCGACCTGCCTTTAATTCTCCACTCACATTCAGACACAAATGCAGGTCCTGGCTATCCTTTCCTCTCTCCTGACATTTATTGATGGTTCATTTTACAATCAGCAACATTTGTAAGCACAGATGCTAATCTAAACAGTTACAGCACTAATACAGTCAAGTTACCCTATAGGTTCACTGTGGTATTGTCCTGGTTTCAGCCAGGACAGGGTTAATTTTTGCAGTAACCAGGAGGGGGCTTGGCTAGGACCCAGAGGTTATTCTATACCAACTCACATCATTGCCAGGGGTGTGGGGAAGGGAGTCTCTTCTGAGGAGAGGGAGTTCCTTCTGGTAAGCCTGGCTGAGGGAAAGGTCAGGTATCAGGTATTGCCTATTGTCAGGGGTTTCTGTGGTGAGCAATAACATTTCTTTTCCTGTACCCTCTGTCATTAGTATCGTTGCTGTTACTGTTTGTTTTCTTATTTCATTGCTGTTTCCAGTAAATTGTTCTTATTTCAACCCATGATCTTTACCTTTTCTGCCTACAGTTCTCTCCAGCCTGGTGCAGGGGGGAGGAAGCAAGTGGCAGTGTGGTTTGGAGTTTCAGTGGGAACACTAAATTGGGGAGTACCATTCCTAAACCATGACAGGTATGTTGATCCTGACTGCACACCAGGTATCCATCAAAGCCACTCTATGACTCCTCTCTTCAGCTGGAGATGGTGGTGAATTTAACAAAAGGCTCCTAGGTCAAGATAAGGACAGGGAGAGATCACTTACTAATTACCACCACAGGCAAAACAGACTCAACCTGGGGAAACTGGTTTAGTTTATTACCAATCAAATCAGACTAGGGTAGTGAAAAATAAAACCAAATCTTAAAAACACCTTCTCCCCACCCCTTCCTTCTTCCTGGGCTCAACTTCACTCTTGATTTTCTCTACCTCTTCCCTGACAGTGGCACAGCAGGATGAGGAATGGGGGCTGCAGTCGGTTTATCACACATTGTTTCTGCTGCTGCTTCCTCCTCAGGGGAAGGACTCCTCACACTCTTCCCCTGCTCCAGTGTGGAGTCCCTCCCATGGGAGACAGTGCTTCATAAACTGCTCACCCATGGGTCCTCCATGGAGTCAGCAAACCTGCTCCAACATGGGCTCCTCTCTCATGGGTCACAGGTCCTGCCAGGAGCTTGTTCCAGTGTGGGCTCTTTATGGGGTCACAGCTGCTTTCAAGTGCATCCACTTGCTCCAGCGTGGGGTCCTCCATAGGCTGCAGGTGGATGTCTGCTCCACTATGGATCTCCATGGGTTGCAGGGGGACAGCCTACCTCACCACAGTCTTGATCATGGGCTGCAGGGGTATCTCTGCTTTCGCTCCTAGAGCACCTCCTCCTCCTCCTTCTTCACTGACCTTGTTGTCTGCAGTTGTTGCTCTCACATATTCTTACACCTCTTTTCTCTGGCTGCAATTGCTTCTGCGCTGTAACTTCTTTCCCCTTCTTAAATACATTATCTCAGAAGTACTACCACCATTGCTGATAGGCTTGGCCTTGGCCATCTTGGAGCCAGCCGGCATTGGCTCTGTCAGACGTAAGGGAAGCGTCTATCAGCTTCTCACAGAAGCCACCCATGTAGCTCCCCTGCTACCAAAACCTTGCTATGCAAGCCCACACTTTTTAAGTTACAGAGAATTTAAAATAAAAAATCATCTGCCTTTGCAGGCTCAAATGCAGAAGCTCTGTATTAACAACGGTGCAGTGATGTCCTATGCCTGGTAATTATGGTGAAATATTTTCCTCTTCTTTTTCTATTTGTGTATTTAAAGAAATTGTTGCTACTAAATATGACCTTTAAAAAGGTTTCAATGTCTGTGTATGCTGGTTTTGGTTGGGATAGAGTTAATTTTCTTCACAGTGGCTGGTATGGGGCTGTGTTTTGGATTTTTGCTGAACATAGGGTTGATAATTTAGGGCTTACACAGAGTCAAGGCCTTTTCTACTTCTCATGCCACCCTGTCAATGAGGGGGCTGGGGGTGTAAACAAAGTTGGGAAGAAGCACAGCTGGAACAGCTGACCCCAACTGACAAAAGGGATATTCCATATCACATGACATCATGCTTAGTATAAAAAGTGGGGGAAGAAGAGGTGAGAGGGGGGATGTTTTAAATGAAGGTGTTTGTCTTCTGAAGTAAAGGCTACATGTGATGGGGCCCTGCTCTCTTGGAGATGGCTGAACACCTGCCTGCCCATGGAAAGCAGTGAATTAATGCCTAGGTTTGCTTTGCTTGTGTGCACAGCTTTTGCTTTCCCTATTAAACTGACTTTATCTCAACCCACGAGTTTTATAGCTTTTTATCTTACAATTCTTTCTTCTATCTGCTGGTGGGGGAGCAGCTGCATGGGGCTTGGTTGTTGGCTAGGATTAAATCACAACTGTAACTAAACAATTCAGGAAATTTCAGCTCAGAAGCCATAGTACAACTTAAAATTTAACCTACCAGACATCAATTCTCCCCCTCTACTCTCTCCTTGTGAGACCCATCTGGAGTACTGCATCCAGGTTTGGGGCCCCCAGCACAGAGTGTTGGAGTGAGTCCAGAGGAGGGTTATGAAGATGATCCAAGGGCTGGAGCACCTCTCCTATAAAGATAGGCTGAGAAAATTGAGGCTGTTCATTCTGGAGAAGAGCAGGCTCTGGGGAGACCTCATTGTAGCCTTTCAGTACTTTATTGGGGGCTTATCATAGAATCATAGAATTAACTGGGTTGGAAGAGACCTCCAGATCATCAAGTCCAACCCTTGATCCAACCCCACTGTAATTACTAGATTATGGCACTCAGTGACACATCCAGCCTCATCTTAAAAACCTCCAGGGACGGTGAATCCACCACCTCTCTGGGCAGGCCATTCCAATGCCTGATCACTCTCCCTGTAAAGAACTTCTTTCTAATATCCAACCTAAACCTCCCCTGGCAGAGCTTAAGAACATGCCCTCTTGTCCTACTGCTGATTGCCTAGGAGAAGAGACCGACCCCCACCTGGCTACAACCTCCTCTCAGGTAGTTGTAGAGAGTGATGAGGTCACCCCTGAGCCTCCTCCAGGCTAAACAACCCCAGCTCCCTCAGCCTCTCCTCACAGCACTTGTGCTCAAGTCCCTTCACCAGCCTCGTTGCTCTTCTCCGGACCTGCTCCAGCCCCTCAATGTCTTTCCTGAACTGAGGGGCCCAGAACTGAACACAATACTCAAGGTGTGGCCTCACCAGTGCTGAGTACAGGGAAAGAATTACTTCCCTGCTCCTACTGGCCACACTGTTCTTGATGCAGACCAGGATGCCATTGGCCTTCTTGGCCACCTGGGCACACTGCTGGCTCATGTTCAGCCTCCTGCCAATCAGCACCCCCAGATCCCTTTCGACCTGGCTGCTCTTCAGCCACTCTGTGCCCAACCTGTAGTGCTGCATGGGGTTGTTGTTGCCAAAGTGCAGGACCCAGCACTTGACCTTGTTGAACTTCATCCTATTGGAATCAGCCCAACTCTCCAGCCTATCCAGGTCCCTCTACAGAGCCCTCCTGCCTTCCAGCAGGTCGACACTCCCTCCCAACTTGGTGTCATCTGCAAATTTGCTAATGATGAACTCAATCCCCTCATCTAAATCATCGATAAAGATATTAAACAGGACTGGGCCCAGCACTGATCCCTGGGGAGCACCACTGGTGACCGGCTGCCAGTTGGATGCAGCCCCAATCCCTACCACTCTCTGGGCCTGGCCCTCTGGCCAGTTCTTAACCCAGCACAGAGTGCCCCTGTCCAAGCCGTGGGCTGCCAGCTTTTCCAGGAGTATATTATGGGAGACAGTGTCAAAGGCTTTGCTGAAGTCCAGATAGACCACATCCACAGCCTTCCCCTCATCCACCAGGTGGGTCACCTGATCATCAAAGGAGATCAGGTTGGTCAGACAGGACTTGCCCCTCCTAAACCTGTGCTGGCTGGGTCTGATCCCTTGTCCATCCTGTAGCTGCTGTGTGACTGCACTCAGGATGATCTGCTCCATAACCTTGCCAGGCACTGAGGTCAGGCTGACGGGCCTGGAGTTTCCCGGCTCCTCCTTGCAGCCCTTTTTGTAGATCAGTGTGACATTTGCCAACTTCCAATCATCTGGGACCTCCCCAGAGAGTCAGGACTGTTGGTAAATGATGGAGAGAGGTTTGGTAAGCTCTTCTGCCAGCTCCCTCCACCCTAGGATGGATCCCGTCTGGTCCTATGGACTTGTGTGGATCCAGGTGGCTCAGTAAGTCACTATTTCCTCCTGGAACACAGGGGGGCTATTTGGCTTCCTGTCCCTGTCTACCAGCTCCAGAGGCCAGTTGTCCTGAGGGCCACCTGTCCTACTGGTGAATACTGAGGCAAAGTAGGTGTTAAGTACCTCAGCCTTCTCCTCATCCCTGTTAACTATGTTCCCCCCAAGTCCAACAAGGAATGGAGGTTTTCCTTGCACCTCCTTTTGTTATTAATGTATTTATAGAAGGACTTTTTGTTATCCCTAACAGAAGCAGCCAAATTGACTTCGAATTGTGCTTTTGTCTCTCTAATTTTCTTTCAGCATGACCTAGTTATACTTCTAAACTCATCCTGAGTAGCCAGACCTATTTTCCATAGTCTGTAAGCTCTCTTTTTATTCCTGATTTCCTTCAGAATCTCCCTGTTCAACCAAGCTGGTCGTCTACCCCACTGGCTTGCCTTTTGGCACGCTGGTACGGCCTGTTCCTGTGCACTCAAGACTTCCTTCTTGAAGCATGTCCATCCCTCCTGTATCCCTTTGTTTTCAAGGGGTTTTTCCCAGGGTATGCTCTGGACCAGTCTTCTGAAAAGGCCGAAATCTGCCCTCCGGAAGTCCAGCATAGAGGTTTTATTGGTGGCCTTCCTTGTTTCTCTGTGTATTGCAAACTCTTATTATTTCATGGTCACTGTGCCCCAGGCGGCCTACGACCACTACATCTCCCACCAGGCCCTTTCTGTTTGTAAACGACAAGTCTAGTGTGGCCCCACCCCTGGTAGGTTCATTTACCAGCTGGAACAGGAAATTACCCTCTATACACTCCAGGAATCTTTTAAACTGCCTCTTTTCTGCCATGTTGAGCTCCCAGCAGACATCTGGCAGGTTGAAGTTGTCCACAAGAACAGGGGCTGGTGATTTTGAGACATCTGCCAGCTGCTTGTAGAATAATTCATCCCCTTCATCATCCTGGTTGGGAGGTCTATAACAGACTCCCACCAGGATATCAGCCTTGTTGGCCTTCCCCCTGATTCTGGTCCACAGGCACTCAATCTTATCATTGGTGACCTCAAGTTCTACAGAGTCAAGAGACTCTCTAACATATAGAGCCACCCCTCCACCTCTCCTACCCTGCCTATCCTTTCTGAAGAGCTTGTAGGCGTCCATGGCAGCACTCCAGTCACGCGAGTAATCCTACCATGTTTCCGTGATGGCAACTACATCATAGCTTTCCTGCTGCACGATGGCATCCAGCTCCTCCTGTTTGTTGCATGCATTAGTGTACATGCACTTCAGCTGGGCTGCTGATTTTACTCTTAACTGGGGCTTTTCATCCCTGGGCTCCTCTTTGGAGAGCCTGGATTCAATCCCTTCCCCCTTTAAACCTAGTTTAAAGCCCTCTTGATGAGCTCCACTAACTTATGGTTTACAGTCCTTTTGCCCTTCCTAGATACATAAAACCCATCTGATTTAAGAAGACTGGGTACTTTGGACTTTGCCCCATGGTCAAAAAACCCAAAATTTTGATGGTGGCACCAATCCTTTAGCTACCTATTGATAAGGTAGACTTTCCTACTCTTCTCATTCATCTCCTCATTCGTTCTAGCAAGTACAGGAACTGAGGCAAATACTACCTGTGCGCCTGTCCCATGAACTGATCTACCCGGTGCCTTGAAATCCTTTTTGATTGCCCTGGCACTTCTTCTATTAATATCATCACTGCCAGCCTGGATTACCAACAGTGGATAGTAATCTGAGGCCTGAATTAGCTCAGGATGTCTCCTACCAAAGTCCCTCACCCTGGCTTCGGGAAGTCAGCAAACCTCCTTGTGGGATGGGTCTGGTCAACAAATAGGGCCCTCAGTTCCCCTCAAAAGGGAGTCACCTACCAAAACTACCCTTCTTTTTTTCCTTATAGCTGTAGTTGGGAGCTGTAGATGGGAGCCCCTGGTGGTCTAGTGGTTAAGGGCGCGGCGCTGTCACTGCCGAGGCCCGGGTTCGATTCCCGGTTAGGACACTCCCCGGGCAGATGGAGCTCGTTAGCCCTGTAAGGCAATCCATCTACGTCCTGAGGACCTTGCTGCCACCGTCCAAGCTCGCTTGGCCCCGGCAGATGAACCTTAGGATTAAAGGGTGGGCTCAGTTCTGCGCACACTGTGTCTCACCTAAAAAAATCCAATGCGCAGGCTGGAAGGTGTAAAGACCTTCCCCAGTTCTTCGTTCGCAAAGACTGGCCATTACAAAAATAGCTGTAGTTGTAACCTGTCTGGTAGACAGGGTGCAACTTGCAGACACATCTTCCTCTTGCCTGACTTCTACTTGACATTCTGAGTCTAGGGCCTTTTATCTGTTGTTCAAGGGCACCCAGGGAGGTGATGGGGGTCGAGAGGGTGTTCTTTTACCTCTCTGAACAGGGACCTGTTTCCATTCCCCCCCATCCACTCCGTTTGCTCCATCTGCCTGACGGCAGGAGGGAAAGGGCATCCCTGTCTCCTGCTGGACTTCCTTGGGGGTGAAAAGGGTGTGACTCCACCAGTCTATTTCCCTTTCACTTTCCCTAATGCTTCTCAGCCTCTCTACCTCTTCCTTGAGCTCTGCTACCGTGCACAGCAAATCATTTACCTGCTCGCCTCGCACACAGGTGCCTCTCGCACTGTCCTCTGTTACTGATGCCAGGCTCTAACAGTTTGCGCAGCCAGACCCCTGAATGGCTACATCCTTCTTGGAAGGTTCTGTCTGTGTCAACGCACTCCTAGTAGTAACAGTAGCAACGGAGACGTTTATATAGCCCTCTCTAGCACCTGCTAATGAGCCTGTCCTGCCTCTCTATCACCTGAGTCGGTTCCTGAGGAGCAGCCAAGTCCAGGCAGGAATCGCCAAGCCCAGGCAGTTCTTATCTCTACTCCATAATTTTCTGGGTTTTTTTCCCCCCTCAACTCAGAGAAGAACAAAAGGGGAGAGGAGAGGGGAAAGCGGTTTTCAGTAAGTGTTTAAAATCTGGCCAGAGTCAAAACCATGACAGAAAGGATGTCCAAGAGTTTCCTATTACTCTTTTTTTTATTTACACAATAGACAAGTATCATTCCTAAGAACCAAGACACTCCAATGGACTGGGCCTTTCTGATCATCTGACACACATGCAGGCTGCTCTGATGTGCAATCCAAACACTTCCCTGAGAATTTTGTAAAGTAGAGCATCACTATGTTGCCTGTCAGTGTAAAGAAATCCGCAGGCTGAAATATGTTGCTGCCTGCTCTGCATTCCTGATCAGTGTGGATTGCCGATGCTGGGAAGACTTTACGAGGGAGGTACTGCAGAAGAAAAGACCAACAAATTTCCCTCCTGCTGTTACACATGTGTGCACATACACACAGTTTGCATACAATCAGAACAACAAGAAAAATGTCCATCTTTCCCATTTTGGACCTGGTTAAAACATTCTATAAAGTAACAGGAGGATATTCTAATCTTAACTTTGTGCTGTTATGAGTATATATGTAATGGTTTAACCCCAACTGGCAACTAAGTACCATGCAGCCACTCACTCACTTCCCCCTCCCACCTCCCACAGAAGAATCAGAAAGCAAAAAGAAACTTTGTAGGTTGATGTAAGAATGGCTTTGTAATTGAAACCAAATAAAATATTATAATAACAATAATAATAATAGTAATGAAAAGGAGAGAGGGAGAGGAATAAAACTCAAGAGAAATAAGTTGCTCACCACCTGCTGACCAATGCTCAGCCAGTCCCCAAGCAGTGCTAAGCCCCTCCCAGCCAATTGCCCCAGTTTATATACTGGGCATGACATTCTATGGTGTGGAATATCCTTTGGCCAGTTCAGGTCAGCTGTCCTGGCCATGCTCCCTCCCAGCTTCTTGTGCAGCTCCTCACTGGCAGAGCATGAGACACTGAAAAGCCCTTCACTGAGGGTAAGCACTGCTCAGCAACAACCAAAGCATCAGTGTGTTATAAGCATTATTCTCATACTGAATCTAAAACACAGCACTGTGCCAGCTACTGAGAAGAAAATTAATTCTATCTCAGCTGAAACTAGGACATTATGCAAAGTGTCTTTTTTTAAGCAGTAAACTGATACTTTTTTAATTTTTTAACTTTTGTAGATTATAGAAGTAGTTGTGTAGTAAATGTAGATTTTAATGTAGCAGCATTCTCTCTTACCCTTAACATAGCAGTTTACACATACCCAACCCTATTATCCCATTTCATATCAATCCCTCTAAATTCCATTAGCATGTTTAGACTTCTTTTCAAGGAAGAAATGTAGAAAAACACCTCTGTTTAAGAAATCCAGCACCCTAGGCCTGCATCAGGAGATATCATGCAGACACAGCAAGTTTCAAGCCCAGAGCTTTGGAGGAACGCCAAGGGCTGTACGGGCTGTGAAGAAGATGAAGATGAGGAAGAAGGGGTCCCAAATGCCCCCAGAACCAATTCCCGAGGGAGGTGTGTTGGGTGGCAGAACTGGGCAGAACCAGGAGGTGGATAGATCTGGGATTGAATGGACCTTATTATAAAATCATAGAACCACTATCTTGGTGGGTGCATGTTGTGTGTATTCCCCTGGGCCTGAAGCCTCATTAAAGGACCAGCTCTTTTTATCGTATACACTAAATTGGCCTGGAGTCTTTTTCTCCACAGTCTTTTTAGGCAATAAAAGCATTCAAACAACATATCAATACCTCTGAAGATAAGGCAGTTCTGACACTACCAGTGAGGAAAGGCTGTCACAACTATTGAAATCCATGAAGCATATGATGGTGAGTGGAGCCTTTTCTCAAATGAATCAAGGCAGATTCAGAACAACAACAACAACAAAAAAAAAAAAACCCTACAACCCCCTCCCCCAGAAACTAATAAACAAAAAAATTCTATTTCTTCCACCATAAGCATATTTAACAAATGCAACCTCCTTGTAGTCCATATGAAGAGAAATTTGAATACCAAAATCATGAAGCAGAATCATAATTCTTCTAGGAAAAATCAATTTTTTTAATTCATTTATGTAAAATTAATTAATTAGAAAATAGAACTGTTACATTCCAGTTTTGCAAATTTAATATATTTTTCAAGTATTCTTGTGAGAGATAAAACTGGTTCAGAAAAGGAGATCTTATTTTCTTTTCAAGAGTAAGAATGTTGCAGTCCACACATTGAGCTTTGAAAGGGGATATTTGCTTTTTGCATGAAAGGACAATGAAAATTCCAAACTTTCTAAAACATGAAAAACAAAAGATGGTTGAATCAGGACAATATTTCATTTCTGGAAAAAGCTAAACAGAAAAAATAAATTGTCCAGAATATTAAGAGAATTAACCTTTATCTTTTCAGTCTTCCTTTCAAATAAATGAACACTGGAAAGTCCACAAGAATTATTTCTATTTCAGGTGAGTTTTAGGAATTTTGTTTTTAATCTAGCTGTCCCTGCAACCTTATTGTTAAGCATGTTTGGACAGGGAATTTTTATATGAACTAATTTTTAGAGTCAAACATACAAAGTTTTTCTGAGGACACTGGCAGGATTTATTGCTGTAATGAAATGGTAAGAGAAGGAGTAATTTCTTTTAAGATTTTCTACAATCTGACCAGCTCAAAACAAATAATACTTGTAATTATTCTTTCAGAGTTAATATTGAAATCAGAAGTAAAACTTACTGAAACAAACTACCAAACTTTAATTTTTTCTTAATTATCTGTTAAGCCTTAATAAAAAGAACAAAATTTCTTTGGATTCTGAGCTTCTGGTCTGGACATCTCTGATAAGAAAATCCCTTTCATAAATAACAGTAATAAGGGAAGCTTCCTCTGCTTTCAAGGGTAATGAAGAGAGAAAGTAACTGTAATCTAACCAAGAACCTATGCCTGCAACCTCTCATGAAGTTTGTTTTGCTTTTTCCTCTGGATTCCAAAGGCCCTAATCACCCCAGCACTGACCCACACTACCACTACTCCAGAGGGTGGAGAAAAAAGCTTCCAAGACAACAA